AAGTGAGTGGATGGATAGATTTTCTCAGATGAATGTTTGGTATTTTTCCAATTCTCTGTGTTCCTTGAATTTTATCTTGCTTCCTGTATTCTTTCGATCTCCATCTCTCTGGCTTTTCTTTGTGTCTCTCTCATTTTGTTCGTCTTTACTTACCTATGCTACATATCTGAAGAAATAATATATACAATGACAGTGATGAGATTTATTCTAACAAATGCTCAAATGTCTAAGAAAGATGGAAAATAAGATCATACACCCCGATCCTCCTCTTAGAAAATTAATGCAATCATTTTCCAAGTAAGGAGAAATAAAATCAGTGCTGAAATAGGGAATGGTGTGAACAACTAGCCACAGATTCTGAGGTATTTCATTCATTTATTTAATGTGTGTTTGAATCTGGAGCACAGAACATCGTTCCCCTTGGAACGATGTCATACTGAGGATTGGCAGCATTCAGAGAGAAGGCCACTCATACAAAACAGAACTTCTATGGATTGTAGGTATTTTCCTGGTCCAGCTTCCCATTCATATTCTGGACCCCACATATTCTGAATTCGGAAAGGAACATCTATAATTTCTAGTGACATACAAACTATACATGTGACATGATAATATTTATACGGTTCCTACATTAAAAGCTATCAAAAGGTGTACAGCAAAAAGTCTCCCTCCCATGGCTGCCCTAAACCACCCATCTCATTTCTCCTTCAAGTAACTGCAATGAACGGCTTCTTGCATGTATTTCTAGAAATATTAACCCTATATGAACATACACTCCTATGCTGTTCAGTATTGTATGTTTTGCTTTCTTTTATTCAACATCATATCCTGCAGATATTCCCACTGGACAGCATGTAAAGAGCTTCCTCATTCCTTCTTACAGATGCATGGTACTGAATGGTGTGAATGAATTTTAATATGTTAATTCACCTTTTTACTGATGTACGTCGTATCGTGTTTTCAAAACTAATTTGAGATGTAATCTAATCACATCTGCAATGACCCTATTTTCAAATCAAGTCACATTCCGAGGTACTGGGGGTCAGGACTTTACATTTTTGGAGGGGACGTAATTCATCCCGAAATATCTGCATGTCCACGAGTGAAGGGAAACTGGCAAGCTCATACACTGATAATGCGAGAGTAAATTGTTTAACCTTCTAGAATGGCAATTTGTCAATATCTATATTACAAATCTTTTAAACAAGTCTACTTTCTGAAGTAGCAATTTTGACATTCTGTCTCTATCCTAGGCAGATAATTATAGAGGAACAAAATGCTATAGGGAAAAAAAGGTCTACACGGTGTTGATCATAGCATTAAAACACAGAATAATAGATAATTCATTAAATAGATTATGATCCATGTATGCGAGGCCATTAAAATGAAAATATTATTTTACCGAGTTTCACAATGAAATGCTACACTTCCCAATGACAATAACACTTATCACATCACTGCCGAGAATGCTGTGGCCTTGGAATAGGGTTTTTAAATTTTAAAGTAACTGAAAAGGGTAATAATTCATGTATGTCCACTCTTAATTGTTAAAATATTACTATTTATAACTAACAAGA